ACCCCAGGAGGGAGAACAACCTTGCACATCAGGGGTCAAGACTAAGTCTATAATATATCGTCCCCAATAAAGGGTCCAGTGTCTGGAATAACAAGGAAAGAGTGGTAGAAGTGGAGATCTCCCCAAGTACAAGCCCATGACCAGAGATGTTTTAGAGTTACTTTGAATGGATCTCAGCCCAGGAGAGAATGGCAAGGCAGAAAAGTGAGCACCCGTGTCTGGTAAGAAACTGACCTTTTGAGATCTCACCAGAGATACTGAAGGCTACTCAGTACAAACCCAGGTGGTGGGAGCCTTAATAGCAGTCTCTGGGACCCATCACTGGGGATCCTCAGGAGCTGGGGGCAGACTGATTTCCAATGATCCCTCTTGCAGATGGAACATGGCCCCGGAGGAAACTCCTGGCCTTTGGTTCGAGAGCACTCCCTCCGAAAATGGCCTGGCTTCCCCCAGTTGTAGCAGCACTGCAGGGTCCTTTTTCCAGAGGTGGATGCATTCATAGCACCCAGCATTTCACAGTGGTGCCTGTCTTTCCACCTTTTCTTCTCTAAGTCTCGACTATAGTAAACAGCATCGGCTGCCTGGATCAACTGGTCCAAGGAGGACTTATCAGGGTCTGCCATAAGCTTTTGCAGCTTTCTCCTGATCTCTGCCACCGACTGCACAAGGAACTTGTTATTGAGGCTTGCTCCACCCTCTGCTTTATCTGGGTCTAAAGTAGTGAACTTCACAATTGCCCCCTTGAGGCATTCTAGAAGTCATTGGTGGTTCATTACCACCCCCCACCCCCACCCCATGAAGAGTGGTGAGCTGGCTATAGTTTAAAAGGCATAATTTTTGGCTATCTTAATTCCTCCAAAATACAATAAATGAAGTGATTTCATTCCCACTCGTGTCATTCGTCCTCTGGATCCCAGTTGGGATTCTTTGTGGGGCTCGCCTCTGCTCCAATGGGGATATTTGCCTTGTCTATGATGCTTTTCCCCTGAACTGCATAACTGTTTCCAGCCTCAAGAGCCTGTTCCAGCACCCTCTCTCTCTCTAAGGAGGTCAGAGTGTTGTCTACCAGTAATATTACGTCCTTTCAAGCTAGGTCATACACAGACTCGAGTCATTCAAAAGTTTGTACATAATGATCAGGATTGTCAGTATAACTGTTCAAATCATTTTCATTTCCTTGATTTCTCCAAGAGAGAAAGGTCTATTTGTACACCAAACTCTATCCCTACTGCTTGAAGAGGAAGCATGGCATCTCCTTTCACTCCAGGATAAGGCCTGGAAGCTTCTTACTTTGCCTGTGGATTAGAGGGACAGGGCTGCAAAGGGTGAGATGAGCAGAGATTAGGTCCCTGTGGAGGAGGAGGGCCTGAGGGAATCCCTTCAGGTGATTCCTTCAAAGAGAGAGGAAAATCTTTATTCATTTGCAAATTACATTCTTCCTTTGAATCTGAAAGTACCAACTCCCCAGGTGTCTGAACTTTTTTTCCCCTTCCTGCCATTTTTTTTTAATATTTTATTTTTATTGCAAAGTCAGACTTACAGAAAGAGGAGACGAGAGAGGAAGATCTTCTGTGGGATGATTCATTCCCCAAGGGACTGCAACAGTCCGAAGCTAGGAGCCAGGAACTTCTTCTAGCTCTCCCACACAGGTGCAGAATGCCAACGCTTTGGGCCATCCTCCACTACTTTTCCAGGCCACAAGCAGGGAGCTGGATGGGAAGCGGGGCTGCTGGGATTAGAACCGGCTCCCATATGGGATCCTGGAACATTCAAGGAGAGGACATTAACTGCTATGCCACTGCGCTGAGCCCTATTCTGCCATTCTTAAGATGATCCCAGTTTCTTTAAAACAGTTGAAGTTCCAGTTTTACATTATTACGTTTACAGCCTGGTTCTTTATCATGAGTCAAATACTAGACCCAACGAGGTATCTTACATTTATTCCAGCGCGGCAAATACAGGATGCAGGTGGTGGGAAAGCAGTGGGGGCAAAAAAGGGAAAGATGAAGACATCTGAGGTCCCTTATGTTCAGGTGAACCCGCAAGGTGTGGGGGCCAGGATGGGGAGGGATTGTGGGCAGGCCCAATGGGATTGGTGCCTGGAGATGTTTGAGTGGGCGGGGTTGGGAGATTAGGGGTGGGATTGTCAGGTGAAATACCAGATTACATCTGATTGGACGGCCAGCGCAAATTTTGTGAGCTGTGAGAGGAATGGCACCAGGCAGGGTCTCAGTCTTCATGATGACCTTCTAATAACTCCTCACATGGAGAAATATCCAAGCATAAGAAATTTCTACTCAACTATCCCAACGCCTACAATAACTGTCTAATTCTGAGATAGTATGGTAATTATGACTCCCTGTGGGACGCCAACTTTTACCATTAACAAGGGAGTATTTGGACCAGGCCTGCATGCAAGTCTAAACCAAGAGGAGTCCAGGAGATCCCATCTGAGCAACAAAGAGACAATGAATAGGCTAGAGAGGCGGGCTTGACCCCTTCTACCTTGTCTAGCCTTTGCCCGAACTATATGTCAGAGCTGGGGGCAAGTCCAGTCTGACCCTGTGTGCGGTCATTACAGTAGTGGCCCTGCAGTCCCCCAGGACAGGATCCACGAGCTTGGGGATTACTACTATCACCCCTGCCTCGTCCCACCTGTCCCTGACCATGGTCTCATCCCCCATGGAGGGTCCTGAGCCCTCAGTAACCATTTCTCCACCACGATCTTTTTCCCTGAAAATATAAAGTTGCCACTGGAGCTAAGGATGATGACTGCTGATGCTTACTGCTTGATAAAAATAAAAGCCCACAGATTTGTGTGTAGTCTTCAATTTGGCTTAAAATCGGTAAAGTATCTACGGGAGCATGCCTTATAATAGGCTTGGCCCAAAACAAACTGGGAAGCCAAATGACCAGCTAGAGCAAGCCTCTGACATTACCTACCTGGTGCTGATTTGGGAATTTTGACCCCTCCCAAATGGAGACAGATAAGAATCACAATAGGAACATAAACAGAGTCTGAAATTCTTCAGGGGGCAGATTCCAAGCATGTCCCTCCTTTTCTATGGCTGGTTCTGGCTTCAAAGGTGATTAGGTTTCTACTTGACTGAGGGTCCCCTGAATTCCTGAAAGACTCCCTGTAGGCTATCAGCTTCTAAGGGAACAATATCCTAACAGTTCAGTTCCAAATGCAATCTCCCATTCTAAGGCTATTTGTGTTTCAGAGGCAGAAAGCTGCTTGGGTGATAGAATGGAGACAGAGTCAAGGGACTGGCCTTTCCTCAACTCATCAGGGAAGTGTAGAGGGTCATCCAAAGCTCCCTACAAGTCACCTTAAAGGATCATCCCAAGTCGCACACTCTTGGGAGTGGCCAGGAGTCTCACCACTCCACCATGGAGGAAGAACCAGCCCAAAACATGGCTGTGAGCCCAACACTAGGGTATCCATTTGGGTGGTCAGTGTTCAGAATCTACCTGGGGAGTTTCTAGGCATGCAGAAGAGTGGCCTCTGCCAGAAACAATCAATGCTCCTCCAGGTTTCCTCCAAACACGCTAACCCATGGCCTTGTACCCAGAAGGAACATGAAGGTGATTGGAAAGGGTAAATAGGTGGTTGGGGATTAGAGCCTCTGAAGGCCATAACAGTCATTCTTCCTAAACCACACCCCTAATAAAACAAACCCTCTGGAGGTTCAAGAATAGCTAGGCCATGCTCAGGGGGACTCCATGATAATGTAGAGCAATGGGGTTCCAAGGGTCACTTCCACAGGTGCAGTCCCACTTCAGGGAAGGCATACAGACCTTGTAAAGTCCTCATTTCAATCAAAGTCTAAGTCTCTTTTTTGTTAAGAGCCAGGCAAAACATGTTACCAGAAATGCCCAGTGGGCTCTTTCCTTCAGCTTAGGGTAGAAATGAAAATCTGGGATCTGGGAATCTGTTGCAGACAGAAAAGCTTATTTGCAAAGGGACAGGTGAGCAGGGAAAGGAGGGTAAAGGGGAAAGCCGCTCCAGAGAGAAAGCCAGGAGAGGGGCTGCCTCTGGACAGGGGAGGGAGAGATCAACCAAAAGGTTGAGGAAGTGTGCTGGGATTTGAAGCATTCCCTGACCCTTCCTTGTTGGGCAGGGAAGCTGCAGTAAGATGTTCCCCATTGGTGGTTTCAAAAGCAGTTTGGAAATATGGGTGGGCAATGTTTGTGCTGCCCGACAGAAGGTGTGGCCAAGACCTCAGCAGACCGGGATCATCTCATTTCCATTATTGGTTTAAAACATGTATTTTTTCAAAAATGTAATCTTCATGCCAATTTTTCCTAAGCTTTCTGCAGCTATCTGGAAAAGTCAGACTTGTCGAGGTTGAGAGGGGAGACAGAGACAGAGAGATTCTGATTCTCTGATCCCCTGGGTTGTGCTTTGCATTTTGTGGATCTTGGAAGATTTCCTGAGAGTCACTCTTCTGGGAGGACAATGATGTGGGTGACTTTGTGTTATAGATGGATGTGGATGAGGATATCATTGTTGTGTTTGCTTTATTTGTGCAGTGCAGGGGATCAGTGGAGGCATCTGCTGGGTGGAGACCACATAGCCCCAGGTCTTGTGAAAGAGTGACCTGGGCTCAGCATCAACAGAGAAGCTCCAGTGGCAGCAGACAACTGCCCGCCGACCAGCCCGCCACAAAGGTAAGAACACAAGCCAGCCCAACCAGTCAGCTTCCTTCTCAGCCAAGACTGTCTCCAAGGTGCGTTTCCCAGGTAACTTGGTCATTTGTGAACAGATGATGGCATGCCATGAATCTGGAGTGACCCAAGGAATTGCTTGTATGCTCCTTTCTCAGTGCTATCTTTTTTCCCCATTTTTCCTTCTACTTAGAAGCATCTGGAACACAGAAGAGCAGGCTGTGCAAGAAGGGCTCCTGGCTGCTTGTAGGAACTGAGAACTGCAGGTCGTGTGGAGCCAGTCCCCTGACACTTGGGAAGCCTCAGCTTGCAAGGCCCCATCAGGAACCATGGCCCAAAGCCTGAAACAGGAGGCCATCTGTGAAATCTGCCTCCAGTTCTTCACAGATCCCGTTTATCTCCCATGCTCCCACGTTTTCTGTCGGCATTGCCTTGATCAGTGGGAGTTGGAGAGAGAGGACTTCCTGATAGAGTGCCCCTCGTGTAGGGCAGTCAACGAGAGAGCTATAAGTGATCCGCACGTGGAAGCTTACAGCCAGTGGTTGAAGCAGCACTGGGGTCTATTAGAGATGGAACTGTATCTCACGGATGAGGTGCGGAGCATGCGGGAGGATGTGCGCCTGGACCCAAGCACAGCCCACTCGCTGCTGCTGCTCTCCTGCGATCTGAAGAGCGTGCAGTGTGGCACAATCAGCCACAACACGGAGCCAGATGCCAGCAGAGTCCCTCAGCTGGTCAGCGTGCTGGGCAGCCCCTCCTTCTCCATGGGCTGCCATTACTGGGAGGTGGAAATAGAAGGCCACGAGTGGGCACTGGGGGTGTGCCGGGAATCCGTGGACAGACAGTGCAAGGGTGATGTGTCCTGTGAGCAAGGCTTCTGGATCATCAGCAAGCAGGCGGGAGAGATCCATGCCCACTCCCTCGAGCCACCTGAATACCCGTGTGCCATCCCTGACCTGCGCCGCGTGGGAATCTTCGTGGATATGGAATTCGAAGTGGTCAAGTTTTTCAATGCTGAAAACAATGACTGCCTCCATGTGTACGATTCTGTACCCTCTTGTGAGCCTCTGCGTCCCTTCTTCTCTCTAGGGCTCCCCAGGGAAGGAGCCCCAGCTGCCTCTCTCAGCTTCTTGCAATGAGATGGCAGCCCTGGCTGGAAGCGGCTGGCTCTAGTCAAGAAGACCTCGGCGCCTGGCTCAGGAGGACCAGGAGCAGATAAGGCCCTGGACTCTGGACATCAGCTAGGCTGCCTTGGGGCAGGGATGTCACTTTCTAGAATGCTCGCAGCTCAGAGCAATGTATGCATGTCCTCGTGGATTGTGCAGCTCCCTCACTTACCAGTGCTCTTGGGTCACTTTGGATGCAGTTTGGGATTTGGTCAAAGGAGGTTACATCATGATGAGAAGAACCCATACACTTTACTTGTCTTAAGTCAAGGACAACATGGAGAAGGTGCACCTGGTAGTGACAGGGATTATGAATAGGTTTATTAGAGAAAGTTCTTCCTTTCTTTTTTCACTCCTGCCACTGTGGATGATAGTGATATTTGTGCGCAGATGCAGGAGAGTGTCACAGAGGGGGTGTGGTCAAGAGAGGAGTGAAGAGTCCTACTGCATCAAATGGGATTTGCCCTCTGCTCCATTCTGAAACGCGACATGTTGGTGGTCCAGGCTGTCCTGCTTGCAGGACAGATGCTAGTGTGGCCCTCCCTCGCATCGGAACATGTCACATCTGTGGTGGGGCAGAGGATGCTGAACCTCCCGGACTCTGTTCTAGAGGGAGATGTGCGGGCTCTGCCTGTGGAACTCCTGAACTGTTGCCACGGGTGTCAAGTCACTGCAAGTGCCGACACTTGGCGATGTTTGAAAACAAGTTCCAGCCAGCTCAAGCCACAAGCCACCGCTCTAGCTCTTGTGAGTGTCAGAATTCTCATCACTCAGGTTCATTCCTGAACTCATGTCTCATGAAAACAGTGTCTGTGTTCACTTCGTGGTGTATTATTTGCAGGTGTAGAATTGAAACTTGTGTTTGCAATAAAATGTATGCAATTTCCTATGTTTTTGTGGTTATTGTGCATCATCATCTCCTCACCTCCGGTAGGAATTGCATCCCTTCTGAACCTGCGTCCTGTGCCTTTCCAGCCTCACCCCCACTGAACTGCTTTGGGATGCTTTCTGGCCCTTTGCGGTGGTGCTTGGCTGGTCGACAGAACCAGCTACTTCTCAGATGATGCCTGCCGCCTCACGGCTGCCTTGGGCCATGTTGTCAAATCAGGCTTAATGCCTCAACACAGAGAGCCAGAATTCTCCTCTGCCCCTGTCTTTCTCCAAGGTGTTGCAGACTCCTCTTTGCTTTGGTTCTCTTTGGATCTCTGTTGGGTTTTTGGAACCCCATTCTTTTCTCAAGGGTTGGCCTTGGGTGGGCTCCACCCTGTTCCCCGAGCATGGTCTCTGCCAACACAGAGCTAATGCAGTCTGAAACACCATAGGTGAGTGTTGCACTCACTCTTTCAATTGCATTTACTAGGAAGGCAAAAGCAATTCATACTTGTTTTTAAAGTTGTATTAATGTTACTTGCAGGAGTTACAGCGTGAGGAGTGGAGGATGTTAGAGAGATACACAAAAAGTAAGAGGAAGACAGATAGTGTATGTGAGTGTGTGTGTGTGTGTGAGAGAGAGAGAGAGAGAGAGAGAGAGAGAGATGCAAAACCGGAAGCCAGAAACTTCTCTTGGATCTCTGACATGGGTGCGGGAGTCTGTTCTCCAGCCTACTGCAGATGGTTGACCTGGCCGTGATCAAGGAGCTGCATCCCAAATAATGAGGCATCCACTCCAAAATGCACAACCAAAGGGAATGCCAGCACACAGGCACAGGGATAGCCAAGCACCACCTCTTTTCTTCATGGAGAGTTTTGAAACCCCAAATGTTGTGCTGGGTTGTCAGATCCCCAGAAAATCATTGAGTCTGAAGTTGGTGCTAAGGCATAAAGCCCAGTTTGTTCAGATTAACCCAGGATTCTCAGCCACTCCACCCTCACCTCCCAGCCAGCTCAGCAAGGCTGGAGGGGGAGGGGCCACTGCAGCCAAGGCTGCTGCACAAAAAGCAGGGCAGAAAAGAGTGAGATGAGTCCCCAGGTGGAACAGCACAGGGTTCTTATATACATTTTTGGCTATTAATAATACAGTCATGATTTAGCAGGCTTCCATTGGTGGGTTTGAAGGAAGCAGCTTTCAAAAGGTATAAATTGATGGACTATAGAGCGGTGAATCTTATCAACCACCAGGTACCTCCTTCTTGAGGAGTGGTCTGCCTATGTGACTTTCGTGGTGTCCTAGTGGGTGTCACTTAGGTTGTCAGGCCTGGGTTCACATAGCACCCAGCCAAGCCATTAAGGCAGAAATCACACAAGGCAGAAAATGCCTAGGTTCTTCAAAACTGTATGAGACTTTGTATTCAATATGAAAAAGAAAGAAAGAAAAAACAAAGAAAGAAGGAAAAGAAAAGGAACAGGCTCAAACAGAAGTTGGACCTGGTCATTAGGAGGGAGATACATCCACAAGTGGAGCAGCCACAACTCAATAAAACATATCCACACGGGATGTCAGTGCGCTGGCAGAGAGCCAGCCAAGAACCACATCTCCTCCACCCAACACCACCTCTCTTGCATTGGCAGTTTTGAAAGGCATAAAGAAATAAATCAGATATTGTGATCCAATAAAAACAACTTGAGGCCTGTGCTCCAACAGTTTAGTGTATGAGAAAGAAGATATCATCAGGTTAAAAGGTAAACAAAACCTAAAAGCAAGCACACAGCACTGTGTTTGCCTGCTGCAATGAGCAGGCACCCTACTCTCTAAGAGCAATTGGGCTGATTGCTCATTGCAGAGGTCAGGTGGTTTATTGCTAGGAAAATGCTGGAGAGTAAAAAAGATAGGATGAATCCTGATGACAGAGCAACAGCCTCCCCCAAATCCTATCCACCTGTCCTGAGAAGAACCACCCTGCAGAGGAGATCCAGGACATCTGCATGACAATGAGAGCCTGTTGAGTCACCATTGTATCAGAGAGGCTGAGAGCCAGGTGCCACTAGCTAAGACCTGATGATGTTTCAGGGCTGTGTCTCTGGACTGGCTCTGGGATCCAGTGGGTAGGGAAGTGGAGTTGTGCAAAGTGGGGTTGTGGTTCCAATGGTATTGTGGACTAACGAGTTGATTGCCACTCATTGGGATGGACAGGAACCAGAACTGGGCTTGTAGCTAAAAACACCTGGACTAATTGGACTCATCTGTATCCAATTTTCTGGCTAAATTGACTTGGGTGGGAAGAGTATATAAGGAGAGGTGAAGCAGCAATAAAGAGACTTTGCAGAGATTTCTGCTGTCACTGGTCTCCTGTAGGGGCTTCATCCCCAGACCCTCTCCCTGTCCACATTACTGACTCTGCTGGTTGAGCAAACGCACCTAAGTTGGGGCACAGCACGAAGGACAATCGAAGGGACCCCTGGACCTACAAAGGTAAGCTTAAAATTGAAAATTTTTGCAGGGGCATAAGTAACTTCATCCCCAGACCATCTCCCTGTCCTGGGGCATGAGGGACAACCTGAGGGACCCCTGGAACTCCAGAGGCAAGCCTAGAGTAAAAAATATTTTGCAGAGCATAAGTTAAAAGTTGTCATGGCACAAGAATTTGGCAAAGTGCAGGTGACTAAGGGAATCAGAGATCTACTGCAGTTACATGGCACTGACATTAAGCCTAAGACTGCACAGACATTTGTTGAAACTGTGAAATATTCCCATGGTTTGCTCTCCTTGTTGCCACATTTTTCTCTGGCACTTGGTTAAAAAGTGCTTTGTCATCCCCTCAATTTCTTTAAAATCATTTGTTCAAAGGGGAGAGAGCTGCAAACCGGGGTAAAAAAGGACCAGGAACCCCAAACCAAAGTGTGGAGAAACTGTGCGAAGAAGATTCATGGTCCTCTTCTGAGGATGAGGAAAGGGGAAGGGATGGAAGTGAGTTTATCGAGGATCCTCCACCTGTAGAGCATGTGCCCATATTGTGTGAAAAGAAAAATCTTTTGGCCAGGCACAGAGCCCTCTGTGCTGCCTGTTCCATTGGCACCGTTAAGTCTGGGTGCAGCTGTGAAAGATTTATAGGAACAACTTCAGCGTTTCTCCCTTCAGCTGAAGAAGGAACATGGCAGACGCACTGCCAGGGCTTGCACTGGACCCCTGCTTTCAACTTCCATTTCAGGTGTGGAATGTGCGGTACAGCAAGCACAGGAGCAGGAGACCCTGCAGCATCAGCCCTTGCTGGGCGCTTTGCCTTCCCAACGGTTGAGGTAGAAGATCAGCAAGGGCAGAGAATCAGGCAGCACCTGGCACTGTCCTTTAAGGACATAAAAAGCCTGAGGGACACTGTTGCCATATATGGCCCATTGGCCCCCTTCATCATTTCCAGGATTGAAGCCTGGGCACCTACCAATTTGTCCCTGGCTGATTGGAAACAGCTCTGTAGGAACACGCTAGATGGGGGCGATTTTTTAACGTGGAAGTCAGAGTTCAACGACCTTTGCCTTGACACGGCTCTGCTAAATGCACAGGTAGGCCTTCCTAAGAGAAATCATGATATGTTGACAGGTGAGGGCAGTTTTACAGATGTACAGAATCAGCTTAATTATGACCCCGGGGGTTATGCTCAGATCACAGCTGCTGCAGTAAGGGCCTGGAAGCCTATTATCACCTAAGGGCTTGCTCCATGCACATCTCTTCAAAATTGTTCAAGGCCCGGACGAGCCCTACCAGGCGTTCGTAGTTTGCCTGCTTGCAGCTGTGGGTAGAGTACTTGGTGATGCAGAACAGGTCATGCATTTTGTAAAGCAACTAGCGTATGAAAATGCCAACAAATGGTGCCAGGAGGCAATTAGACCATGGAAGCATAAACCCCTTAACACGTCTGTTAAACTTTGTATGGACCTTATAATGGGTGTAGTCACTACAGAAACATTGTGTGGTGGCACCACCATAGTAGGCTCAGGGTCCCACCCGAAACAGGGATGTTTCAAATGTGGCTGGCTAGGGCATACCCACCAGAACTGCCCATTCCAGGATTGTGTACAGGCCCCTGTTAGAATGAACAGGCAGCCCCAGGAGCGTGCCCCTGATGCCAACATGGGAAACATTGGGCAAATGAATGCAGGTCCAAGATGAACATCTTTGGTCAGCCATTATGCCAGGAAACGGGAGCACCAATGTAGGGGCGGTGATTCAGTTTGTCCCTCAGGCACAAAGGCCATTCATGACCTTGTCTGAGGGAGCCTAGGCAGCAGGGTATTGGACCTCCACACCACTGCCTTCATCATATTGACACCCCAAATGGGGGTCTAGGCTATTCCTACAGGAATTTATCAGCTGCCAGCCCCTGACACTGTAGGGTTTCTGCTTGGAATAAGCAGCACAGCCTTGAAAGGAGTTCACATTACCCCAGGAGTGAGTGATGCAGACTATACAGGGAAAATTAAAGTTTTAGCCAGTGTTCTTTCTGCAGTTGCAGTTTTGCCCCAGGGGTCAGGGCACGAATAGCACAGTTAATGCTGCTCCCCATGGTGAAGACAGATAATGCTTGCAGGGCTGGACGGAGGAAAGGAGGGTTTGGTTCCACTGGTGATACCTCTGGTTATTGGCCACGCTACCTTGGAGTTGAGTATAGAAGGAAAGAAATCTACTGGGCTTCTAAACACTGGTGCCGACACCACTCTTACTTCAGAGAAATATTGGCCCCCAGATTGGCCTATTACACCCACCATGACCACCCTTCAAGGATTGGGAATGACCCAAAGTCCCTTAGTTCCAGCCCACTGGCCTGGAGAGATAAGGAAGGAAATGGTGGTTTTGTTATTCCCTATGTAGTGCTGGGCCTGCCAGTTAATCGATGGACAAGGGATACTTTGCAACAGATGGGACGGTATTATTATCTGGTCAGAAATTAGCTATGTAGCAGATGGAGAGGTACAGCAACATTCTTGGAAAAGGTATAGGGAGAAAGCTGCAAGGAATTACACAACCAATCTGTGTGAAACCTAAGAACGTTGATTTGTTGGCAGAGGAGCAGTAGATGTTGCGGGATATGGCCAGGGCCTCTTGTTCCCCATCATGTCTTTATATATGTAACACCTGTGCAAGTGCAAAATGTTTCTCAACTCCTGGAACTATTGTCTGCTCATTGCTACTGAGCTAAAGATACTCCTAGCCGTGGAACAGGGTTACCAACCTTCCCAAGTACATTTAGTTCAGCTGCAGCAGGCAATGGCTGAATGGCAGCCAGTGACAGGTAAGATGGACCAGGCAGTGACCAACCTAACACAGGGGCTCCGTCATGCTATGGAGATTCCCAATGATGGGTAAGGCTATTGACGTGACAGTCCACAACATAAGACAGGTGCATTCAAGCTTGCTTTAAAAGCAAAAAAGGAGGACCTGGTATGGGCTAATAAGTTGGTTAGTGCTCGTTGGGATGGGCAGGAACAGGAACTGGGCTTGATGCTAAAACATCTAGCCTAATTGGACTCATCTGTATCCAATTTTCTGGCTAAATTAAGATGGTGGTGGAGGGTGGTGGAGGATGAGATTATAAGCAAAGGTGAAGCAGCAATACAGAGATTGGTAGATACTTCTACCATTATGGGTCTCCTGTTGGTGCTTCATGCCCAAACACGCTCCCTGTCCACGTTCCTGGCTCTGCTGGTCGGAACAAAATAGCAGTAGACTGGCTCCTTGGGTCTGAGCTTTAGGATTCCCTAGGCTGACATTTTCCATGTGACTCACTCCACCACACTCCAAATCAGGATGATGCAGTTGAGACCCGATGGAATTTAAGCATCAGGGTGTGGAGGGCAGGACCCAGGACACCACGGTGGGTGGAGTCTGGAGCCTCAGCACACTTATAAGACCAGAGAATCCGAGCTCCAGGTCCTGAGAGAGAGCGGCCCAGAGTGAGAGAGGGAGGCTTCAGGCCCTCCGCACCAGCAGGGAGAAGACGTCTCCACGTCCAGGTCAGTGGTCCCTTCTGTCTGTGTCACGTCACGCTCCCACCTCTCTGGCTACAATGTGATTTTCTCACACATTGGAGGTGAGAAGGAGCCAGTCTTGTGTTCTCTTTCTTTGGGTCTTTGCTCCTCTCAGACCTCCTCTCAAGTTGTACAGCTTCACTTCATGTCACTTTTCAGACGTGCACGTAGTTGACTGAATAGTGCTGTGTGTGCTGCTTTTATGTCTTGTTTCTCTTGTGTTTTTCCTTAGCTTTACCTTAAAATTTTCTAGACTTTACCTTAGGTTCTAAAGCAAAGGCCTTAACGGTTTCAACAATTCTATTGATTAAAAAAATGTCATTTTTGTTCCATACTAATATTTCAGATTCATGAACACTGCAAAAGCACTTAGTAGGGATGGATGGGCATTTGCGTCTTTTCTGGGGTTTCCAACCTCTATGTAGAGGTGGAACAGGCAAATGATGTCAGGCTGGGAACACCAAGTACAGTGAGCCTTTTGAAAGAAGGGTGCAGGCAGTCAGGGTGGTTTTGGGGGGGGAAATGATCTTTGTGTGTTGAGGCGTGTTTACTTGAGAAGCATTGATAGGATTGAACTCAAGGTTTGAACCTTTTTCCAATAATGGTTTAAAACATGTATTTTTTCAAAAATGTAATCTTCATGCCAATTTTTCCTAAGCTTTCTGCAGCTATCTGGAAAAGTCAGACTTGTCGAGGTTGAGGGGAGACAGAGACAGAGAGATTCTGATTCTCTGATCCCCTGGGTTGTGCTTTGCATTTTGTGGATCTTGGAAGATTTCCTGAGAGTCACTCTTCTGGGAGGACAATGATGTGGGTGACTTTGTGTTATAGATGGATGTGGATGAGGATATCATTGTTGTGTTTGCTTTATTTGTGCAGTGCAGGGGATCAGTGGAGGCATCTGCTGGGTGGAGACCACATAGCCCCAGGTCTCGTGAAAGAGTGACCTGGGCTCAGCATCAACAGAGAAGCTCCAGTGGCAGCAGACAACTGCCCGCCGACCAGCCCGCCACAAAGGTAAGAACACAAGCCAGCCCAACCAGTCAGCTTCCTTCTCAGCCAAGACTGTCTCCAAGGTGCGTTTCCCAGGTAACTTGGTCATTTGTGAACAGATGATGGCATGCCATGAATCTGGAGTGACCCGAGGAATTGCTTGTATGCTCCTTTCTCAGTGCTATCTTTTTTCCCCATTTTTCCTTCTACTTAGAAGGATCTGGATCACAGAGGAGCAGGCTGTGCAAGAAGGGCTCCTGGCTGCTTGTAGGAACTGAGAACTGCAGGTCGTGTGGAGCCAGTCCCCTGACACTTGGGAAGCCTCAGCTTGCAAGGCCCCATCAGGAACCATGGCCCAAAGCCTGAAAGAGGCGTTCACCTGTTCGATCTGCCAACAGTTCTTCTCAGATCCCGTTCAGCTCCCATGCTCCCACGTTTTCTGTCAGCATTGCATTCAGCCTTCTGATTCGATGAGAGAGGACTTCCTGATAGAGTGCCCCTCGTGTAAGGCACAGCTCCGGGGTAATCCAGTACGTGCTCTAGAGCTGTGTGAGCCGTGCAATAGCTTGAAGCAGCACTGGGGTCTATTAGAGATGGAACTGTATCTCACGGATGAGGTGCGGAGCATGCGGGAGGATGTGCGCCTGGACCCAAGCACAGCCCACTCGCTGCTGCTGCTCTCCTGCGATCTGAAGAGCGTGCAGTGTGGCACAATCAGCCACAACACGGAGCCAGATGCCAGCAGAGTCCCTCAGCTGGTCAGCGTGCTGGGCGGCCCCTCCTTCTCCATGGGCTGCCATTACTGGGAGGTGGAAGTAGAAGGCCACGAGTGGGCACTGGGGGTGTGCCAGGAATCCGTGGACAGACAGTGCAAGGGTGATGTGTCCTGCGAGCAAGGCTTCTGGATCATCAGCAAGCAGGCGGGAGAGATCCATGCCCACTCCCTCGAGCCACCTGAGCTGCGTGCCATCCCTGACCTGCGCCGCGTGGGAATCTTCGTGGATGTGGAATTCGAAGTGGTCAAGTTTTACAACGTTGACAACAAGTTTTGCGTCTACATACACCAACCTGTACCCTCTTGTGAGCCTCTGCGTCCCTTCTTCTCTCTAGGGCTCCCCAGGGAAGGAGCCCCAGCTGCCTCTCTCAGCATCTTGCAATGAGATGGCAGCCCTGGCTGGAAGCGGCTGGCTCTAGTCAAGAAGACCTCGGCGCCTGGCTCAGGAGGACCAGGAGCAGATAAGGCCCTGGACTCTGGACATCAGCTAGGCTGCCTTGGGGCAGGGATGTCACTTTCTAGAATGCTCGCAGCTCAGAGCAATGTATGCATGTCCTCGTGGATTGTGCAGCTCCCTCACTTACCAGTGCTCTTGGGTCACTTTGGATGCAGGGGATTTGGTCAAAGGAGGTTACATCATGATGAGAAGAACCCATACACTTTACTTGTCTTAAGTCAAGGACAACATGGAGAAGGTGCACCTGGTAGTGACAGGGATTATGAATAGGTTTATTAGAGAAAGTTCTTCTTTCTTTCTTTTTTTTCACTCCTGCCACTGTGGATGATAGTGATATTTGTGCGCAGATGCAGGAGAGTGTCACAGAGGGGGTGTGGTCAAGAGAGGAGTGAAGAGTCCTACTGCATCAAATGGGATTTGCCCTCTGCTCCATTCTGAAACGCGACATGTTGGTGGTCCAGGCAGTCCTGCTTGCAGGACAGATGCTAGTGTGGCCCTCCCTCGCATCGGAACATGTCACATCTGTGGTGGGGCAGAGGATGCTGAACCTCCCGGACTCTGTTCTAGAGGGAGATGTGCGGGCTCTGCCTGTGGAACTCCTGAACTGTTGCCACGGGTGTCAAGTCACTGCAAGTGCCGACACTTGGCGATGTTTGAGAACAAGTTCCAGCCAGCTCAAGCCACAAGCCACCGCTCCAGCTCTTGTGAGTGTCAGAATTCTCATCACTCAGGTTCATTCCTGAACTCATGTCTCATGAAAACAGTGTCTGTGTTCACTTTGTGGTGTGTTAGGAGGGAGATACATCCACTAGTGGAGCAGCCACAATTCAACAAAGCATATCTACACGGGAGGTCAGTGCGCTGGCAGAGAGCCAGCCAAGGACCACATCTCCTCCACCCAACACCACCTCTCTCTTGCATTGGCAGTTTTGAAAGCCAGAGGTAAATTAGATATTGTGATATTGGGAGTTTGTTTTCACCCTGTTCAGTAAGCCTTAGGAAAGAAGAATCGTTACCAGTGGTCAGGGAGTCGTTTCGTGAGGACGGTGATTTTTGTATATTGAACTATGCTTACTTGGGAGAAATTGTGTAATTCATTCTGTTTTTTGTTCACTTGAACTCAAGGCTTGAATCCTATTGAAATATTTGTTTAAGATACTGATTTTTATAAATTTAAATTGCATTTAAATTTTCTAAAGCTTTCTGTGATTTACTTAGATTTGTAGAGAGATGGTGAGAATGAAAGAAAGAAAATGATACTTAGAGATGTGTTTATTTCATTCTGTTGGCGTAAGCTGTGGGTTTTCTTTACCCTCCTGTGGATCTTTTGTTGGATCTTGGAAGAGTTCCTGAGATTCTCTGCTGGAGGACAGTGTTATGGATGATTTTGTTATGAGTGTGTAGATGAAGTTTTCATTCTCCTCTTACACTTTGCTCTTCGCCTCTTTCTCCTCTACTTCTATATTTTGCCTTTGTTAGATAGGAAACAATGCAGCATACTGTACTTTTCAATGGAAAAATGTGGAGCATAAACAAAAATAAAGAATCATATATACATCCTCAGATTACCTCATCTCCTAGCTGCAATAGTTAGCATGCAACTCCTCCACTCTCTTAATTTACAATTCCCATGCATCACACCAGTTCAGCCATAAAGGCTTAGTAACTGTTCTTATTGGAAGTCTTTAGAAAAATGTAATTATTATGCCATTACATATGCATAAAATATATTACTCTTGTCCCTCTGGGTTCTGTCGTGCCATATGGAATCTGATTTGAGTCCTGACTGCTCTATGCCCTGTTGAGCCTCTTGCTAATGAGCCTGGGAAAACATTAGGAGATGACCTTAGTGTTACAGCCTTGGCTTACACTGGTGATTTAGAATAAACTCCAGATTTGTGACTTCTTCCTGTCCAAACCCTACCCTTATGCATATTTGGAGTGAACCAGAGGAGGGTAGATTTTTGTTTTTCTGTCTTTTTCTTTTTACCAATGTTCTTTCAATAAATACTTCTAGAAAGGAACGACTCCTTAAACATCATTAGGTATATACTCAACATTCATGATTTTCTGATTCATCCTAGAGTTTCACTTTCATTGCTCTAGGTAGTTTGAATTGGTCCAAATGATATTCGCTTAGATTGAGTAATTTGTCTTTCCCTAAAGCTTGCATGCCTTATGGGAGGGCCCAGGTTCACTCTTGGGCTCTGGCTCTTGACTCCAGCTTTCCATCAATGCAGATCCAAGAGGTAGCTTTAATGGCTTAAATTAGTATATTCCTGCCACCCATATTTGAGATTTAAAGTTAGTGGCAGCTTTTTTTTTTTTTTTTTATTTAATTTTGACAATCCTTACAAATTTAATTGGGGTAAAAAAGGGTCAAGGTCTAAAGGGGGATATAGAGGAAGAAGCCCCACCCAATCTCCCGCCCACCCCAAGTCCCGGGAGTGGGGTGCGCTTCGAGATACTCGATCAAGTGGTTCCAATAGTTCACTATCCATGGGTCGTTGCCTGTCTCGCCACCCCAATCATGATGTGGTCATTGAAGAGTTCGTTGATTGACACAGTCCCGTCTAGGGTCTCCATTTGCCCAGTCTCTGCTGCCATCAGATGGCTGAGGTTGTTGCTTGATTTGTCCTGTCTTTCCCTGGTTAGGACTCCGAGTCCGGTGTCTCGAATGGGAAGATCCTCGAAGAAATTTTGAGGTATTCCCAGTCCAGATTCCTGCTGTTTTAGTAGCATAGGGTCCGTCACAGTCCACTGCCCCGGACAGCTGGCGGCTGCAGTTGCTGGGCCGGTTCTGTCTCCACCCGTGTCTTCTTACAGTCCCGCCTGGTTCCACCCTGGACGCATTTGTCCCTCGCACGAACTAGTAGGAGTTGCAGCCCAGTCAGGGCGGCCCACAGTAGCCTCAACCAGGCCCACCTCCTACCCTGGCTTGCCAGTATATATGGCATACTAGCCCAGTCTGTCCCCGTTACCCTTCTGTTGCTACAACTAAGCCCGACAACCCTCACCAACTCTGGTTGTAGCTTACTCCAATGGGATTGGTCAGCCTAGCCTGGTTATCACCCAATCTGGTCCCCATGAGGTGCACAGGCGCTGTGTCCCTGCCTGGTCTAGTCTACCCCCCACCCAGCTCCCGCTCCTCAGTGTAACTTGCTGTTCAGCTAGGGAGCCTCCCCTTTTTCTCCTGTCAGCTCTGCCGCCTCCCTTCCTGGTTCTCACTTGTGTTGGTTGGGTGCTGCGGCTGCATCCGGCTCAGGCTACCTCACCTTGGCATTCCAGCCTGCGTGTTACTTTTGTTACGACCGGACCTGGTTCGACCCACATTCTGTTCTGGCGGTCAGATTTACCAGTGGATGACATGAACAGATTCAGCCTGGTCTGCCCCCGACCCAAGCCAAATGCATGCCAGTGGGACACTTTCAATGACCTCTTGGCTGTTGCCTTGCAAGTTCCTTGTGCTGACCTGCAGGGTCTGTGTCTTGCCAGAGGAGTTGCCTGGGCTCCTCCATCAGAACCCCTCCATGTGCCAGGTTTCGCGCATGTCAGTGGGTCCATGTGCCAGTTCGCCTCTTGTCCTTGTAGGAACAGTGGTCTTTCCTAACTGGCCATCATCCCGTTCTGGTTCTTGCTGTAGAGTGTTGCAGCTTGGCCATGGTCATCCATGCCCCCATATGGCTTGTACATGGCTAAGTTGAGGTTGGGACCTAGCCTAGTCCGTCCCACATCCACCCTGGTACTCCAGAGCACCAGAACGTGTTAGTGTCCGGCCCGGCCCGGTACCTCTTTTCCCAATCCACATTTGTGCCAAGGGAGAGGATAGCTGTATCCAGACCCTGCCGCAGCCCCGTCCACCTGTCATGACCTCTGCCTTAGACTCTGTGGCTCAACTTTGTGCTTAATGTGAACCAGTTGGAGCCAAATCCAAGCCGGGCATGTCCTGTGTTGCACCCTGTGTTCCAGTCATACTAGTGGGCTAAGGTTTGCTTAGTCCGAACATTCATCTCTCAGTCCCGCACTTTCATTAAGGTTTCATGTCCCGATTCCTGGGGATCACCAGAAATTAGTGTCTCACCTACACTACCGCTGGTCTTACTTTTGGGTGTCCCAGAGCACCTATTTCATATCCTCAAAACCCCAGAGCTCGCCGCTGGGCGGCCAGCAGGCAGAGCCTGGCACCACTTGGTGCACTGGCCGCCCAAGGCCTGGGTCTCTGCCCCCGCCTCTCAACCAGAAGGGTCA